CCCCCAAGTGTTCCTTCCACAGGCCCCTCACATCATGTTCAGTCCTGTGAGGAGGCTACGCTCCTCACTGCTAGGGGTGACACCTGACTCCCCTTCCTCACATCAAATCTTCATAAAATGACAACATATCCGAGTCCCTTTGCTCCTTTCCAAGCTATTTTCAATAGGCATCATTTTATTCACTCTTGCAAGATTCTTATAAAAATTATGCGTAATTTACGTATATACTCATTTGTAATTTTTCATCGAATCAACACCATTTCCCGAAATCTTGTATATAAAACTTAATGTGTTTAAATTATTAGTTTTCCTTTGCATTTTGTTTTTCTCTAAACCATTTTTCTCTTACATCTGTTTTATAGGTCTCTCATTTCTTCTTACCTAGAGTCCATATATCCCCAAATTTGTGTTGGCTTCATGAGATCACTGTATTCTCTTCTGCAAAGCTCATTTGTCCACAATCTTCTGCCATGTGTCTGCCTACCTACCTGCACAGCCGTATTCTCTGCCACTTCCCATCTCTCTCTCTCTTCCCCACACCTTCTAGGTGGGAGCTTCCTCATAGTAGAATAACAACGATCAAACACATGGCCACCGGCCCCACTGAACAGGTTCAAAGCCTAGTTCTGAGCAAGGTGCTTAACTCTGCGCTTCTGTCTTATTTGTACAACAGCAAAATAATGGCACCGCTTTCTGGATTGCTGCAAAGATTGAATTAATACGTGACACACCCTTAGAGCGATGCCAGCACTTACTAATGTTAGCTATTATCGGTGACCTTGACCAATGCACTTTAACAATTGACACCATCTCTGATGTCTCGGAGTTCTGTGATCTCTGCAGTCAACTAAAGACCTTTGCAGACATCAGTCTTCTATTTCTATTTCATGAGAGACACTCGGGACAGTATTTCCATCGTTCCTTTGCAGTCCTCTGCTCTGCGCCATATGGCTTCTTGCCCTTTTCGATCTGGACCTAAGCCGAGAGTAAGGCTGAGTAATGACATCTCTACCTTGCAGATAATACATAAAGCCCATAGAAGATCAACAACTTTCCGAAAGACACATGCCTAATCTCAGTAGCACCATCAAAACTTATCTCCACACCTGTCGATGGGAAAGGAAAAATCTGCCTCTTCTTAGAGTAACCGTACTACAGAAATTTACCAGAGAATCTAACTTTCAACTCATAGCAATATGAGACTAAAACACTTCCTAAAGGATATGTATTCCACTTTCTCCAGATGCTCAAAAATCTTTGGATTAAATCACACCACCAGAGTTATGTATCTGGCCCTGTTGTTTAGCCACGTGGCACTCATGGGACTCCTCCGTCATTAGAGGACCTGCCCTCTGGCCATTCTCCTCCCTGCTCGGTTGGACCCGAGCCCACTGCCAGTGCCTACACGGGCCTCCCTGTTGGGTCACCCTAGGGGGTAGAATTCACAGCTGGTGTGGACGGCCCTCAGAGTGTCTACATGCTAGGAGCTGGGCAACACGTGCCAAGGTGTCCACGGGCGTGAGGCCCATCTTGGGGTGGGATGAGGCCAAGGTGGTAGGAGGAGGATGGGCTGTGGACCTGGGATTTCTAACTCTTGTCGTAGGTCTTATAAATGTTAGCATGAACTTTGTGCTCCTGCCCATATCGCCTGCTCCCCGCCCCCCGCCCCCCACACGCTGGACAGATTCGATTTTCCTGCATCACGGTGCTCTGCCATTGTCATAGTGAAGGCCGTGTAAGAGCCAGCTGTAGACACACAACTCTTGATTACTGGGGGTCCCCACATTTGCCCATGGGACTGAGGGCCAGGAATCTCTGAATTTCTTCTCAAGTACAAATTTAGCTTCTGATCACTATAGTATACAGTCACCTGGCCCCGTCTCCTATTTTGTGGCTGTCACTAGAACGCTCAGAGCTCCCTCAGAACTTGCCACTCTATGGCAGGTGGGTTGCACTAACCCCAGTCAGGCCTTATCTTGTTTTTCCTACTGTTATTTTCCCTTCACTCAAACACTCTGTTTACGACAGCTTGGTATAGTGTGTATGTTTTTGTAAATCACCTCATATCCTATTTGGATAGGGCTGGACAGAAAGAAAGGGAAAAAAAAAAGATTTCATCAACCGTACGATGGGCCCGGGGAGGCCCCGCACACACCCTCTTCACTCTGTTCGCAGAACCAGCAACGCCAGCGCCAGGGAGCCATGGGGACCGAGCGCCTGGCCTGTCCTCGTGCCTGACATGCGCTCGTGGCACTTGCTTGGGGTGGAAGAACATGTGCTTTGTGTCCCAGTTTCCTACAAGCTCCTGGACAGAGGTCGGGATCCTACTCAACACACATTAGTCTCCCATCTTCCATACCCCCATAGAGCTTGAGAATTTTCCAGGGGAATAAGCCATAAGGACGCAGAAAGCCCAGGGGTCACCCACACTAGCCTATATGGCCCCACCCAGTTCAACACCCGATTCGGTTCACAGCTCGCTTCTGGAGCCCTCGTAGCCTAAGATACAGTCTATGAATTTCTGACACTTAGCTCAGCCATGCCAAGCTCTGTCAGGGTTCAGATCTCAGTGGTCTGGACATAACAACCCGGGCATGCAGGAAAAACTTTTGAAGCAGGACAGTCCCCAAAACGAGGCCGAAGACGCCCGCGAATGCTTCAGGAAGGGAGGCTTTGCTGGAAGGCCGGGCCAAGCAGCTGCCTCCTTGAACATCTGCACACAGACACAGCCCTGAAACAACCACATTTTGCTTTATTAGGTGTTCCATGGTAATATAACACAGAGTTCTTAAGGAATAATAAACACGAGACTTGTTTTTTTACCATAATTATTTTGCCATTAAGACAGTGGTTACAAAAAAAAAAAAAAAAAAAAGTACTCTTCTGGCTACACACATTATCAGCTTTAGCACTGAAAGTTCCTCCATTCATGGGTCACAATCACAATTCCAAGGATTAAAAACCATCTACTGTTAAATCCTACACTGTTTTAGAGCATCAAGTCACTGCAGTTATTCAGTTCTGAGACACTGTCGATTTATTTTAGCATTTACATATGACGTTCATTTAACAGACACACAAAGCAAGCCAACAGGTAAACATGCTTACACAGCCTGCGGAAATCTTCAGGTTGTAAGTTGTTATAAGAAAACAATCAAAGTAACCAAAATTACCAGGACCTGGTACAGGAAAAACAGGAAGACTCAAGTGAATACTAAAGAGCTGCGAGTGTTTCTTAGAATTGAAACAAAATTTTTTTTTCCAACTGGTTCAAATTTTCTCTAAGTGCAGGTGAGAGAAAAAGCAAATATATTAAGTTAACCAATTATTCTTTAAAAGTGCAATTTACTTTTCAAATAACAAATAAACAACAATAACAACAAAAAATAAACCCCGACCATAACCCCAAAGGCAAAACGTGTGGAGACCAGTGGGATGGGGGGATGACCTACTTGTTCTCTGTTATGCTTTACAAGAGCAGATCTGGTTTGACACAAGCCCGCAGACACAGTATCGCTTCGGAGAACCGGTAAACACGCTGGGAAGGAAATGCGACACAAATCGGCAAAGACAGGAACCGGCACAAAGGCAACGAGTGGAAAGGGTCACTGAGACGAAGGACGCTGACACGAGGTCGCCTCGGTCTCTAAGGGGCCACATGTTTGATTGGTAAAGTTTTTCCCCCAGAACAGCTCTGACGTGACGTATCACTCATTAAATAGATGTTTCCCCTTGCAAAGTAAAATGGCCTTTCGGACTCCAACATCCCAAGAATTGTCTGAGTTTAGAAGGCCTCCCTGTATTACATGTTGTCTTTTGAAATAACTGGACAAAATATATATATA